GAGGGAGAAAGGGTAAAGTTAGTTTGAGCGTTTATGAAGGAATGAAGAATGGAAAGTTTATACAAGCAATAGATACAAACGGTAAACGTGTTTCATTAGCTTTGTCAAAACTTACTAACATTTATTTTGACAGTGACTTTGACTCTGACGATTGGAGCGACAGCAGCGATACTGAAGAATATGAAGTATTGTGTGAAGCACAGCAATGGGAGGAGTTGCAATACTTTTGTAAGTGAGAACGTTTATTTTTTACAGTAGTGAAGTCGTTTGTGAAAACGTTAGTGAGGTGAAGTGGTTGGTGGCTTTGTAAATATTTAAGGTTAAGTTAGTGTTGTCGTTTGTGTTGTAAAATATACGTTAACGGTTTCGTAAAGTGTCAAATTCACATATAATGGGTAAGGAGGCGCGCAGTGCCTCCGTACGCATGATATGTATACTAACTGTTACTATAAGGTTGCAAGTCTTGTCAAAATGTAGTATGCAATACGTTGGGGAAAAATAGATATATACGAACAAACTACTACAGTCTAGCAACTAGTCTTTAAGTGTAATGTATTTTTGCTACAAAGAGCTCATAACGAAGTCAAATTTTGCAATTTGATGTCAAAACTAGCTAGCTGTTGAATCAAATAGCGTTGTGACTTTGTATACATCACGATCTTGTGGTATCAGAGCTGTACTGCTGCAGACTAATTCAACTAAACATGAGCAAGATTGGGATTTCTATTCTCTGGGGTGCGAGGCTCGTCCAAAGTTCAAGCAGCTACAGTGTTTTGGATCACCTAGAGAACTTTGGGAATTCAGTTATTACGTAAATTTCTCAAGATGAACTTGAGAGCAGTGCAGTTATAACGAAAGTCTCTGATGAAAGGCAATGATTTCTTTCATGAATGATCTAACGTTAGCTTGAAATAAGGAAAAGAGACTATTGATGACTTACTTTCCATCGATGGTGCACAACAGCAGGGAGGGGATTGGTGGGTTTGGGGAAATTCGCTGAGGCACTAGTGTCCGGATTGTTCGTCAAATAGGTTTCCTTTCCTATAAAGAAATGACACTTTTTTGGCGGCTTATTGACTCAGAAAAATTTGAGAGTTAACGAATAATTTTGGCGCCAAAAATAATTTCTCTTAATTTATTAAATTTAATATACGCACATCCATAAGTTATGCTATTTTTTCTATTTATTTTGTTCTAAAATTCTAAATATTTTTTTTTCATAACATAAAATATAATGTCTAGTCTCATTTACATAACAACATGCCTTAGAATAGGTTTTTTATTCTTTTTGTCACTTTAAATTAAGAATAAAAAGATAATTTAAATTGAATATTTGCGATTATTCTCACTAATGCTGCTTCCTCTTTTATTAGGTAGACAACAAAAAGTTAGCCTTGGACTCCCATATCAGATTTTTGATTGGTTGCGTATATAATGAGCTGGGATTGATAGACGAAAACCCAGTGAGAAAATTTTTGACGCCTGAAAGGCTGTTGCATATCAATTCAATAATATTGATCGTAAATCATAGCATCAGGATTATTACAATATTATTATCTCGAATTAGAGTTAAAGTGAAATGATCGCGATCAAAAAATGTAAAACAACTTTATCAGAGTAGACTCAGACTAAAAATGTAATTCGATATAATCATTTTATTGTATGATGTATTCAAAATTTCAATCAAAATGATCGTGGAATAGAATTTTATTTAGTAAAAATATTAATCAATTATATTACTTGATACTTAATTTTGTGGAAAAAACGGATTTTGAATCCGATCATTCAATCCTATTCAAATTTGTTTGAATTCTCCCTGTAAAAAAACAATCGAACACTCACCTTATATTCTTTAAAAAAAAAAAAAAAAAAAAAAAAAAGGGAGTGGGGCTTCCAGGCACTTCGTGCCTTCTAGCCCTGAAGATGTTTAGTATAAATGAAGTCTTAGAGGACAAACATGACTATGAGTTTTGATATGACAAGATAGAATATGAGAGAGGTCCTATAAACCGGAGAAAGTGTTATATAAACATCTGTCATATTACTCAGAATATTATACAGAATTCAATAAAAATATATTTTAGGTGAAGAGGTGAGATTTCACCTGTTTTTTCACCTCATTTTTCACCTCTTGAATTTTCATGAATTTCATCGTAAAGACTTTGTCAAGATTTCATCGTAAAGACTTTGTCAAGATTTCATCGTAAAGACTTTGTCAAAACTTCATCGTAAATGTTTTGTCAAGAACTTCTTCTTCGTAAATGTTTTGTCAAGACTTCTTCGTAAATGTTTTGTCAAGACTTCTTCGTAAATGTTTTGTCAAGACTTCTTCGTAAATGTTTTGTCAAGACTTCTTCGTAATGAGTGTAAATGACCAAAAATAATGTTTAGGTGAAGAGGTGAGATTTCACCTGTTTTTTCACCTAATTTTTCACCTCGTGAATTTTCATGAATTTTACACCAAAAATAATGTTTAGGTGAAGAGGTGAGATTTCACCTGTTTTTTCACCTCTTTTCTCACCTCTTGAATTTTCATGAAATTTACACCAAAAATAAGTTTAGGTGAAGAGGTGAGATTTCACCTGTTTTTCACCTAATTTTTCACCCTCTTGAATTTTCATGAAATTTACACCAAAAATATACTACTAGGGTCATTTACGAAGAAATCTCAACAAAGTCTTTACGAAGAAATCTCAACAAAGTCTTTACGAAGAAATCTCAACAAAGTCTTTACGAAGAAATCTCAACAAAACATAGACAAGAAAGTTCATGAGAAATTAGATGAAGAAGTCTTAACAAAGTCTTTACGAAGAAATTCATGAAAATTCAAGAGGTGAGAAATGAGGTGAAAAAAGAGGTGAAATCTCACCTCTTCACCTAAAATATATTTTTGGGTCATTTACGAAGAAATCTCAACAAAGTCTTTACGAAGAAATCTCAACAAAACATAGACAAGAAAGTTCATGAGAAATTAGATGAAGAAGTCTTAACAAAGTCTTTACGAAGAAATTCATGAAAATTCAAGAGGTGAGAAATGAGGTGAAAAAAGAGGTGAAATCTCACCTCTTCACCTAAAATATATTTTTGGGTCATTTACGAAGAAATCTCAACAAAGTCTTTACGAAGAAATCTCAACAAAGTCTTTACGAAGAAGTCTTTACGAAGAAGTCTTGACAAAGTCTTTACGAAGAAGTCTTAACAAAGTCTTTACGAAGAAATTCATGAAAATTCAACGGGTGAGAAATGAGGTGAGAAAACAGGTGACATCTCACCTCATATGTCCTTACTGAAAAAGTATGTGTTCCATCTGAAGTCTTATATACGGGTCTTCCAGGAGCTTTTCACAAATTATATATGTTTTCATGCTTTGTCACTTTTCTGTCCTTTTCGGGTAAAACATTTTTATTATTATATATAAATGAATTTTACAAAACCACCGTTACCGTTCTTTGGAAATAAGAGTAGATGTAAAGATATTCTATTGAGAGAACTTAAGAAACTACCGAATGGTCTAACATTTGTAGATTTGTTCGGTGGAAGTTTCTATATATCCCATTTGTGCCATACTGTATTTCCTGACTCAAAGATTATATGCAATGACTTCGACAACTATATGAACCGTCTCAAACATATACCAGACACAAACAAAATATTGAGTGAGTTGAAAGAAAAGATACCTATAGGTAAGATGGAACGTATACCATTAGATAAGAAAAATACTGTCAGAGAGGTTTTGAAAAAAGCAGAGTATATTGACTGGGATAGTATATCTTCTAGACTATTATATAGTGGTGCTATAAGAGTTCATGACATTGAAACACTTATGTCAAAAGTTTTAATCTTAACTATACAAATGTTTTCAAAGAGGACATAGAAAAATATATTGAGGGTATAGAGTTTGTGAGATGTCATTGGACAGAGTTGTATGAAAAATATAAAGACAAGGAAAATGTTTTCTTTATAGTGGACCCGCCTTTCTATAACACATGGATTTTCAATACCAAGTAGACTGGACTTTGAGAGACTCTTTAGAAACTTTAGACGTTTTACATAACCATCCATGCTTTTACTTTACATCCGATAAAAGTGGTTTGGAAACCGTTATGAGATGGTTAGAGGACATACATGACTATGAGTTTAGATATGACAAGATAGAATATGAGAGAGGTCCTATAAACCGGAGAAAGTGTCATAACAAAGAAATTTTATTAGTAAGTAAATGTGGTTTGAAATAGGACTACTTGTTTTAGGTTTTTTCCATTGTGTCATTTATTTATTTGACGTGGCAGAAAGATATAGAGAATATGAAGATGAACCAATGCCTGCAAATGTTCAGTATATGTACTCGTAAGAGATATTTTTATCTAATATTAAATGGACGCACAGAACTTAGCGAATGCACAGCAACCTGGACAACCAAACCCAGAGAATATTCCAAATGAAGTTAGAATACAAACTGCAATGGCAAACTATGGTCAAGTGCCAACAGATGTACAAATGCAAACTGCCATGTCAAATGACGCTGCGTTAGGTTTGCCACCATGGTATGCAAATATGAGATGGAAAGAGTTTTATACAAACCCTGAAGTGGGATATAAACAACTCTATGCAGATGACGCGAACACAGGAGTTGACCCAGAATATGTTTTCTACCAGAGGAGAAACAGAATGTATGAGCTCCAGTTAAAGAATGCTATGGAACTCAACAGGAAACGTAAGAGACTAGGTGGACATTAGATTTTTACATATAGTAAAATGGGTTTCTTCAGTAGTATTGGAAACTTCTTTCGAAATGTTGGAAGAGGTATATGGAATGGAATAAAAACCGTAGGAAGAGGAATTTGGAACGGTGTCAAAAATATTGGTAAAAGGGTAGGTGAGTTCGTTGGTATTATACCTAAAGACCCTGAACCAGAAGAACAAGCTCCTGTTATACAACAGCCTGAACCTGCACCACAGTCTAGTTGGCAACCAAATCCAACACCTCAACCGTATTAAAATTATATTTTTACCGTTCGATAGTAGTTGTATATGAAACTAAGTTCTAAGTAAAACGCGTGGTATAATGGAACTATTCTCTTTCTTCCATCTGTTGTAAACCATACTTGAAAGTCTGAAATACTTCCACTCGGCGGTTCATATAACTTTGTAGGTTTTTCGTAAAAGTCATTTGCCAAGCATAAAAAAGAGTTTTGGGCGCCAGAAAATGAAGCATGAACTATAATAGCATCTGAGTCGAAAACATTTTCATATGTTCCATTAGGGTTTTCGACTTCATAAAAGTCCGGGTGTACTGGATATTCTGCAGGCTGATTTAACATCCTCAGAAACCTATACCATGCCAAGTTGTTATATTTTGTAGAAATATAAACGTCTTCTCCAAGGTCTTCTATTCTATTGATTTTAACAGTTGCATTTTTCCTGTCATATATAATATCGAGATGGTACTCTCCTTCGTCAATGTTGTACTGTTTTGCATATTCGAGATAGATATCGTTTATTTTTTCTTGAAAAGCTTGAAGAGTTGTTTCTAAGTTTACAAGCAAATTCACTTGTAAAAGTTTTCCCTGTTCAAATTTCTCATACGTATGTTTTTCTTTGTTATAGTATCGAACTTCAAAAGCGACCGTAAATGGGAAACCATGTATGGCTTCTGAAATGAACTTCATTCTACGAAAGCCAATAGCTTTTGTGACGGATGGGTCTCTTAACCATCTTAAGGGGTAGTCAAAACGATAGCCTTCATGCTTTACGGTCTCTGTCTCAAACTTTTGACCGACATTCGTAAAAAGTTCATCTAATGGTTTAGTTGTAGCAACTCTAGAATTTTCTTTTTCTATTGGAAGCATATTTTATCTAGAATAAAAATGTCGAAAGAAACAGCGTCTATGAGAGAAATACAACACAACCGACAACTCATTTTGCAAGCTCTAAATAAGAACACAACAAACTTTTCAAACTATTCTAAGATATCTGAGTCATTGAAAGAAGGAAACTTAAAACTGACGATAAACCCATTGACAGACGAGTTTCTGTTTCAAGACAGTAAGAACCATACTGTTTGTATAAATCCAACAAAAAGAACTTTAAACGAGAAACCTATAGATGAACTTCTTTTGAAAGCAGATGTTGACAACAAAGCTGACAAAGAGTATGTCATTGAAAAAGTTCAAGAAGAACATGACAGAGCAGATGCAACATATGCAACAAAAGAACATACTCATCCTGAACTAGCGGACAAAACATATGTTGACAATAAAATGTCAAGTGAAGTGACAAGAGCTGAAAACGAATATTCTAAAAAGACTCATACACATACCATTGCAAATATTACAAACTTACAAGAAACCTTAAACAGGAAAAGTGACGTTGGACATACACATACTATATCTGAAATAACAGACTTAAACGTTAGCCTTGAAAAGAAAGCTGACAAAGAGTATGTAGATGCAAACAAAAGACTATATTTTCGCATGGACAGATAGAGCATACCCACAAAAACACCATACACATAACATCTATGACGTAGATGAACTTCAAGAAAAGTTAGATGACAAGGCGGATAAAACATATGTTGACAATAAAATGTCAAGTGAAGTGACAAGAGCTGACAAAGAATATTCTAAAAAGACTCATACACATACCATTGCAATATTACAAACTTACAAGAAACCTTAAACAAGAAAAGTGACGTTGGACATACACACGATTTCTTCGCAACTGTTGGTATAGAAAATATTGAAGGAACGGTTGAAGAAACTGGTGGGGATGTATTAAATTGGAAACCTCCTAACTTTCCACAAGGTTTAACATCGGAGGATGACATAACGACGATGAAATACATTAGATGTAGAAATGTCTATGTCATGAAGGATGAAAACAATGTTAAATTCACTGCTCAAGATTTATATGACAACAAAGCTGACAAAACAGAGCTTCAAACGTTAAAGACAGAAATACTTCAAACACTATATCCTATAGGTTCTATTTACACGTCAATGAACTCTACCAGACCAGAAGTAGTACTTGGTCTCGGAACTTGGACTCAAATAGTCGACAGGTTTTTGTATTGTGCAAACTCTTCAAAGGAAACAGGTGGAAGTAAAACGATTTCAGGTGAAAACTTACCTGCACACAGTCACTACATAGATTTAAGTACATCTCAAGCAGGTTGGCATAAGCATAGATTTTGGGATTGGTCAGCAATGAAAAAAGGTAAAGGATATGATGTTAAAGACAACGTTCAGTTTGCTATAAATTGTTTCTGGGGTAGCACACAGGGAGAAGGAAACCATACACATCGCGTTTCAGGGTATACACAAACAACGGGACAAAGTAAAGACTACATGCCACCTTACATGACAGTTTACGCATGGTATAGAATTGCTTAGTCGTCATTTTCAACTTCTTTAGCATATTCGTCAGGAGTTGTCTTATATTTGTTAGGAACTGTCTTTGAAAGTATACCACCTTGAACTTTGACAAGTTTGAAACGAGGTCTGACAATAGTAGTTTTATCTTCTGCTTGCAGTCTGTACATTTTGCCATGTTTGCCTAAAACTTCATAATATTCTCTTGTATACTTTCTTCTATTTTACGAACACGAATGCGAGTACCTGTCGAGTTCCCATTGTTGTCATAGTCAATAGTATTTTCATATGGGTCGCGTTTAGGTATTTCTATTTTTACTTTGTCACCTTTCTGAAGTTTGAAGCCTGGCATTCTTTCTTGTTTGTCTCTTTTGACTAAACTATTAAATATATAGTCTTTCTCTAAGTCGGGGTTGTTTTTCATTTCTTCGGGGGAGTGGTTTCCCAAACCTTTTGTTTACGGCTATTGTAAATATTTAAAACTTGTCTCATCTTTGCCATGGAGAAATGTCTATACTTGTCGTCATATGACATTTCATCTACCTCACCACCTTGTGGTTGGTTTAAGTCTCTTAAGATTTTTATACAACTGTCAATGACACCAAGAGCAGAATGGTTTTGGTCGACAATGAAATATTGGTTTACATTTTTTGAACGCAGATAGTTTTTAATATCGTCTGATTTGAAAGAACGTTCACAGTCAGATGTCAGTTTTGTTGGATGGTATTTGTCAACAAATATTGTCAAAGCAGTTTTCACATCTAAAATATTTTTGGACCATAATGGTATGGCTTCACAGTATCTTGTGTTTTGACCGACAAATATTAGCCAGTATGGTGGTCCATCTGTTCTAACTCTCGGAATGTTTTCCAAGATATCCATAAACCAAGCATTTGGTGTTGAACTAAAGATTTTTACCATGAGTGCTTTCTTTGTCGCTTTAGAAACATAGGGGTCCTTGTTTGGATTCGTCATTTTTTAACCCATAAGAAATGGGTTTATTTGGCGCATTAGCAGGAGTTGCATCCAGATTTTTGCCCGCAGTGGGAACAATAGCCAGAGGTGTATTTGGAGTTGGAAGGAAGATTTTGAGTACATTAGGTATACTTAAAGAGAAAGCACAACCTATTATACAAACTGTACAGAAAGGTTGGGATGTAGCACGAGATGCAACAAATCTTATTCCAAATCCTGAAACAAGAGGAAAAGTTCAAGGATGGATGGACAATGTAGGAAGACAAGCAGGAAATTATTATAACAAAGCAAATGACTACTATAACCAAGCAGGACACTATATGGACCAAGGTGAAAGATTCTTTAACAGAGGATATAACCATGCACAACAGTGGGTAAACAATAACCAACCGCAACCGCCTCAAACGTGGGGAATGTAAAGTTTTTTACTGAGATGAAATGAACAATACAGCATTGAGACAAATGGGTTCAAGATGGATTTGTCGACTTCCAGCAGTTACACAACGTGTTTGTCAAGTTCTTCCTATACCTCAGGAAGTTTTAGACCGACTTAAAAAACAACAACAACCAGTTGAAAACAAACCAAACTAAAATTTTTTACTGAGATGAAATGACCGAAGAAGTTGAAACGGTAGATTTGACACCACAAACAAAAAGTTCAGAACCATTGTCAAAACCTGTCAAAGAACTTACAGATGAAGAGAAAAATTCAATAATAGAAAGTGCCAGGTCTGGAAATACAAACCCTAACTATAAAGTCACTTTTCATAAAAATGGAACGGCTAGTATCTCAAAAAAGAAACAGACTCTCACAAATAAAATATTGAAGTCTGATGGAGCTAAAGAGACAACAGATGGGAAGGTATACTTCACCGACCAACAGTTCATTATAGAACATCTCATTGACTTAGAGTCGAAATATTCTAAACTTTACAACAAACACAAAAAGTTGAAAGGAAAACAAAAACAAATGGCATATGATATTTACGAAGATGTTGACGACACAACCATACCTGCAAGTGAAGTAAAGTCAGGTGAACCGAAAAGTGACGAAAAACCAATAGAAGAAGGTGAGCCAAAAACTGAAGATAAACCAAAACCAAAGTTTAGTTTGGAAACTAAACCAAGTCAACCTTCATTAGCTGGTATGGGTTGGCGTCAAAGGCTTATGATAGCAGGTGGTTATGTAAAGTAAAGAAAAAAATATTTTTTTATTTTTATAAAAATGTACGCTGAGTTTGTTGGAGAAGACCGTTGGGAAACTTGTTTGTTAGATGAGAAATATGAAATGGCATACCATTTAAAATAAAACATTTTTTTCAAAAAATATATTTTTTTATTTTATTTGAAATGTACGCCGAGTTTGTTGGAAAAGACCGTTGGGAAACTTGTTTGTTAGATGAGAAATATGAAATTCACTGTTGTGAGTCATTTGAAGTCAGAAAAAAAGAGACAAAAAGAGTTTTAAGCGAATGGGAGCGAAATGACGGATATACTACTATGAAGATGAGTGGAAAAAACTATCCTAAACATGTTGTCATTGCAACTCATTTTATACCGAACCCTAACAATTTACCTTTTGTAGACCATATAAACCATATAAGAAACGACAATAGACTTGAAAACTTGCGTTGGGTCACTTGTTCTGAAAACAATAAGAACAAAAGCAAATTTCGAGATATTGTATTCGAATTTGTCGACGAACTAGAAGATGAAACAATTGAAATTACAGACTATGGCGAGCATACGTTTGAGTTTTACTACTATAGCGAAGAACAAGACTCTTTCTACTTTTATACCGGCGTAAACTATAGAAAATTACAAGTATATTTTACTAAGGCAGGCTATGCTTATGTAAACACTAGAGATACAGATGGAAAATGCGTTCATATACGTCTTAACAAATTCAAGAAGCTATATGGCATACCATTTTAAAACAATATATTTTTACATATATTAAATGTTTCAGGTTGAAAAACAAAGAACAAAAGTAGCAGATACAAAACCGTTAGACTATATCTTTACAAACGCCGGTAGGACTATATCAGATGAAGAAATTTCATCCCGTACTTACAGGTTTGACTATCCAATTCGTTGGCTTCAAAGTCCTTCAGATGCAAAGGCAATAGGATTTAGAAGAGTTTTGTTTTCAAATAGAACTAACGCATTTATGTTCGCAGTATATTTTCATGGGCAATATAAAGGTTCTGATGGTCTAATAGACAAATTTGACGAAATGAGAATCTTTACAGTTCGTTCAGACGAAAGTCTTGAGAAAACTCTAAATGACTTTCAAACTCAAATGAACAAATATTATTGGGAATTTCAAGAAAAATACGACTCTTTACTAAATGGAACATACTATCTGAAACTAGAATATGACAAGATGAACTCCACCGTTTCATTTCAAAGGATTGAAAATAACCCTCCAAGAGATACACAGTTTTTATTTTGGGAAGTAGACAAACGTTCTTGGGCACAATTTCTTCGGTTACTAAACCAGAACGAACCATTACCACCTGACGGTCCGTTTAAATTTATACGCCCACCAACAGATTTGACAGTTTATAGAAACGTGTTTGACCCTCAAAATGTTATGTGTCATGCAAGTTTCAGTTCAAGCAACAATAGTTTTCTATGTATTGGTAAGGACTTTTATGACTTTGCTTCTAAATTCTACGAACCACCTAGTAACAGTTTCTCTGACTTTCAAGTTTGGTTCACAACAAACGGTGTGCAACATATTATTCCATTGTACTATGACTTTTATCTCGAATTGTCTTTCATATATAACTACGGAAAAGTGCTGAAAAAGTATTGAAAAATAATGTTTAGGGTAGATGGGTATATCTAACCTCATTTCTAACCTCTTTTCTACCCTCTTGAATTTTCATGAATTTCATCGTTTATGTTTTGTCGAAACTTCTTCGTAATGAGCGTAAATGACCCAAAAATAATGTTTAGGTGAAGAGGTGACATCTCACCCGTTTTCTCACCTCTTTTCTCACCTCATGAATTTTCATGAATTTCATCGTAAATGTTTTGTCGAAACTTCTTCATCGTAAATGTTTTGTCGAAACTTCTTCATCGTAAATGTTTTGTCAAGACTTCTTCGTAAATGTTTTGTCGAAACTTCTTCATCGTAAATGTTTTGTCAAAACTTCTTCATCGTAATGAGCGTAAATGACCCAAAAATATATTTTAGGTGAAGAGGTGACATCTCACCTGTTTTCTCACCTCTTTTCTCACCTCATGAATTTTCATGAATTTTCCCGAAATAAAATAAAAAGTTGGTTTTTTTAAAAAAATATTTTTTATTTTTATTGTAAGAACTGAAATGACAGTCGAAGCAAAAACGTTCACGAACAAATCTAATGGCGAAACATTCACAAAAGGCACTTACAACGGTATTGAAGTCTTACGTAGAGACAAGGATGGTTATATAAATGTAACAAATATGTGTCAGCAGTTTAGGAAAGACTTTAGAAAGTTGTTGGAAAATAAGTCCTGGGAAGAGTATTATAAGGCGTTTTGTGAAGAATATAGCAACCGCCGGAATTCCGGCGGTTGGTTTTTATACAAAATTCATGCAGGAATTCCAGATGAAATCAAACAGGTTAGAGGAACGTATGTAGACCCAAGACTTATAAACTATATAGCAATGTGGGCTTCTCCAAAATATTGCATAGCAGTTGGAAAAATTATGGACTCCATAGACAAGAAAGTTCATGAGAAATTAGATGAAGAAGAACTTGAAGATACAGTAGAGAATGCTAAACCTTTGTTCGAACAAGAAGTTAGAAAAATGTGCGAAAAACAAATAGAACATGAACGTGAGATATGTTATGGTTATAAAGATTCTCCATACGAACTAGACCAATGGGAACAAGAAGATTTAAAGAGAGAATTTAGAGAATATGAACTCGCTAAGATAGCATTTGAAGCTGCAGAAAAGAAGTTAAAAGTTTGGGGTCGTTTTGTACAAAAATATTGTGAGTAAATGAACCATTTATTTTTATTGAATTCGGCAAAAATAATGTTTAGGTGAAGAGGTGACATCTCACCTGTTTTCTCACCTGTTTTCTCACCTCTTGAATTTTCATGAATTTTCCCGAAATAAAAAATAAAACTAACTTTATTTTATTTATTTTTTTTTATTTTGTATAAAAGACATGATTTCAACAATCGGCACAACAACAGTTCAAACAACTACAGCACCAAACTCGCTAGTTATGAATCCAACATCTATGTTAGTAGAGATGAAAAGCTTCATTCCTTCTTCATATACTTTCGAAACAAAAATCCAGAAGATAAAGCAAGAACTTTTAACAAGTAATTTAGACTGTAGTGCGAAAGATGAAACAAATGAACAGTATCTTTATGAAATGCAGGATATTATTGACCATCTACCTAAACTTCCTGAAATCCAACAACAAAAACTCACTATTCCTGAATTCGACGAAATTGAAGTTAAAGTTACTGACTCAGTAGAAATAAAGAAGTTCATACGAAAGGTAAATTATGAATTCCTTGGTTTTCATTGCAACCATAAGGTTATGGACAAAGATTGCGACATGGTATATAAGAATGTTTCTGACATATATAAATCTGAAGAATTTAAGACCTACGACAACTTTGTTTCATTAGTTGCAAAATGTGTATGGGAAATAAGAGATAAAGATAGAAGATGTAAAATATGGAACGAACAAATAAGACCAGCAACTTTTGAGTTAAAGAAAACCATTGACGCCTTGGTTGTTTTAGCAGGTAAGGTTTCAGAATATAACGCAAAAATGAATCCGCAATGTTCTAAATGTAAAGCAGCAATGAGGAAATATAACTACTCCGTCAAAGAGATAGAACGTATGCGAAACGACTATGCAGACTTAAAGAAAGAAGCAGAAAAACCAGCAGAAAATAAAATGGATATGTTAGCATTTCTGAACAAAAACTATCCAACAGCAGAAGATTTCCTATTATCTGACGTCAAGAAGAAGTATAAAGAAACTTTCGGTATCGTTAAAACATTCGATGTACTGACAGAAGAAATAGAAGCTACAAAACTGTTTAGGATTTCAAATATACATCGTACAATTCATGTAAAACGCTTATAAAATAACAGGTGAGAAAAGAGGTGAAAAAACAGGTGAAATCTCACCTCTTCACCTAAACATTATTTTTTGCTGAATTCAGCAACAAAATTCTGAGTAAAATAATTTTTAGGGCATGTGTCAAACCGTTGAGTTTTCACAAAATTTAAAAAATAACTGAGGTGAGAAAACAGGTGAGAAAACAGGTGAGATGTCACCTCTTCACCTAAAATATATTTTTGTCTGATTTACGCTCATTACGATGAAGTCTTGACAAAACATTTACGAAGAAGTCTTGACAAAGCATATACGAAGAAGTCTTGACAAAACATATACGAAGAAGTCTTGACAAAACATATACGAAGAAATCATGAAAATTCACGAGGTGAGAAAACAGGTGAGAAAACGGGTGAGATGTCACCTCTTCACCTAAACATTATTTTTGCTGAAAAATGACCAAATTTCGTGAATTTCCTTAAGATAGAAAAAATAAAGTTAGTTTTATTTTTATTTATTTTTTTTATTTTGTATGTAAAGACAGATATGTCAACAACAGAGAACACAACAACTGCTATCGTTCATGAAGCTATAAATGAAGAATATGAGTGGGTTCAGTTTAACAAACAACTCCGTCTCATTCGTTCGGTCAAAGACGATATGTACCAAATGCAAAGTATTTTGAATGCTCTTCGTTCTACAAAGCAAGCATATCATTGGTTTGAAAACCAACAGACAAAAGAACTTTTAGAAGAATTTCCTCATATGTTTGCTTCCCTCGGAAAACCGAGGGAAGAGATTCCATTCGAAAATCGCAAGAATTTGGCTCCTTGTTTGAAAGGATATTATGTTCATAGACTTCTTGTAAATGCTGTGGCACAATGGGCTTCAGCTCGCTATTCATGGTATGTTTGTAAACTTCTTGACGAAATTCATAGACAAGAACGTGAAGAGCTAGAGAACAAGCTTGAAGCAAAAGACAAAAGCATTCAGAAAAGAATACCACGTTCGGTACCAAAAGGAAAGGAAAAGAACTATAAGTATATGATTTATACTGAAGAGATGGAAAATGAAGAAGATAAAGATATGGTTATGTTGCATTTAGTCAGAAGAAACAACAAAAGCTTTTACGACCTTGCTAAGATTTACAAATCTGACAGAAATTGGTTCTATCGCGAAAACTTACCGATTTCAATGACCCCAAATGAAGATGTGAAACAAATAGTTCAAGATACGTTACCTCAAACACACTATGATATGAAAGGTTGTACAATTTTTACCTTCAAAGAAGACTTACCGCTACTGAAAGAAAAAATAACAGAGTATTTTGACAACTTCAAACAAGCAGAGTAAATGAACCATTTATTTTTCAAGCTTGACTTCAGATGGCTCAGGTAGCTCTAGATGGTAAATTGGCTTGTCAAATCCTTCTGGCATTCCAAGTTCTTCCTTCCGACATTCCAAGTTCTTCCTTCCGACATTCCAAGTCCTTCCCGACAACTGGAAAAAAATTTCCCGACAACTGGAAAAAAAATTCCCGACGACAAGAAAAAATTTTCCAGTTGTCCGTCCGTAAACCATTCAAATTTTCGAAAATTGAGAACTTTTTGGTCGAACTTCAGGAAAAGTTTTTCCTTCCAACAGAAAAAAATTTTCCTTCCAACAGGAAAAGTTCTTCCTTCCAACAGGAAAAGTTCTTCCTTCCGACAGGACACAAACGAATGTCCGACGTTCCTCTTCCTGAATGTCTTCCAAAGCCAGAAGAACCGACAGCCCCAGCACCACAACAGACTTACTAAGACTAAACACTTACATTTTTCAAGCTTGACTTTTTACAATTTGAACTTTGTTTGCGTAGATATGAATTCTGAAAGAAGTATGAGGGTCTTGTATGACTTTATACTTCTCCCATAGTTCATGTCTGTCAAACTTACCTGCCATGGACTCTTTCATAAGTTCCATGAAATCGTCTTCGGACAATCCGGGGAAAAGTACAATGTCAGTAAGTATTCTCTTTACATCCTTACTTAAACTCTTTGCTGTCTGTACACAAATGACAACTGAAATGTTAAAGTGTCTGAGCTTCTTAAGAATTCGACACATATCTTGTTCTCTATTCTTAAGCAAAGGATGAGAAGCAAAGTCATCTAAAATAAGAAGACATCTATGAGGGTATGTCTTCCAATCGTAAGATTGCAATTTCTTCGAAATGTATTCTATCTCTTTCTGTTTGTTTCTGAAGTGTTTCTTCTCTAATATTCTCTGCATTTCCTCATTTGGGTCTTTAAACTTAGAATTTATATACTCATTTATAGCATTATACTTCAAAACTCTTCTTTGGTACTTCTTTATCCAATCTAACAACTCAGTATCCTTTATACATACTAACTTAGACTTCTTTATAATATCTTTGAACGAATTGACGGTTTGGTCAAATTGACCAGAAGTACTACAAATAACAACTAACTCATAGAATGGGTTCTTCTCATCTAGTTCTTGTTGTTGTGCAGCCATTTTAAGATAAGTGAAAGTCTTACCCGACCCAGGTGGTGCGATTAGACCTGTTATACCATTCTGAGCAAATAGGAACTTGTCATGTATGGGTTTTATCTGAGCATTTTCTAACTTCCTCTTGTTCTTGTTTAAAACATTCTCAAATTTCTTGTCAATGTCAGCAAACTTTTTTTCTAACATATTTTTAGAAAAATTAAAAATTTTATCTTTTAGGAAATGTCTAGCGATTTCGCTATCTATATTCGAGACAAGCTTTTCGACAGCAAAACATCTGTCGACCATAAAATCTTACATAGTGTAAACAAGAAAGGGGAATTTGTTCTAAAGTTCTGTTTCTGGGAATATGACAAGAACCATAAAACCTTAAGCAGAGAAGTCTTAAAATTTGTCAATGACAGACTTGTTGACAGAGATGACGCCTCTTGGAGAGATGAAGTCCAACAAAACTTCTTAGAATGCAAAGAAGACACATGCGCTGTTCTTGAAAATGAAATAGAAAACAGAATAGAAGAGCTATTAAATGACAAAGCACTTTTACAAAAATATGGTTCTGAGAAGTTTGACATAACTCCACCAGAAAAGAAGAAGAGAGAAAAGAAAGAAAAGAAAGTAGAAGAGAAGAAAGAACCTGAACCAGAGAAAAAGAAATTTGACATGTAAAAATAAAATTTTATTTTTAGAACATTTCTGGGTCAATGTCAATGTTCTCTTCCTCTTTAGGAGCAAACACTGGTTTAGACTCTAAAATCTTTTTACCCAATTTACCTTGAACTTCAACTATCTTAGACTCATAATATTCATAGTCGTCTGCTTTCTTTGGTTCATAAGGTATAACAAGTTTGTATGCTTTGCCTTCTTTAAGGTTTGAAAACCTTCTGTCAAAATTTTCTTTGACTGCTAACAAACCTTCTATGTCTAAGTCTTCAAATTTCGCACCATTTTTAGTCACAATAGCAAACTTAACTGGTTCGATGTTCCAAACTTTGTCAAATGTAGACTTTTCAAAATGGTAGAAGTAAACATTCAAATATGCGAATGGAGCTAACTTATCTTTGACTTCTGTCATGTACTTGTTTACTGAGATGAATTTTGCCATCTTTTCTATCGGATAAAAAAATATTTTTTTTAAATTTACTCAGAAAAATTTTTCTTTGTATATACGCCATTCTGAACATCTAAAAGACTTTTGACATTTGCCAAGAATGTTCGTTTAGACGCTGTCATATAACCATATTCTTGACAATATTGTTTATACGAATCGTACAATGACCTTTCATCTAAACACTCAAAGTCAGTTTCATCTATGAACAGTTCATATACACTCTTGTTTGCTTCTAACAATGTTTGTCTCTCTTCGGTATGTGGAATTTGTCTTGGATTGAACTTTGAAATATCTAATGTCATGAAATATGAGAACAAGTGGTTGTAAAAGTCAGATGTCAAAGTTTCTGCTAAGTCGTCAAAATATTCTGTATCTTGCATATGAGAATCTGACGTTCTGACAACTACATATCTTCTGTCAGAACTTTCTAACTTCATCGGAACAGCATTGTTTGAAACCATAATGAAGTTTGCAACATTTTCACAAACTCTTTGGTCTTTATATTTTCTTTCAACAACTCCAACTTTGTCTGTTATAAGACTCTTCAAAGCATCTGAGTTCAAAACTTTTGTTGTATCTATACTTTGAAGTTCGTTACATACTATAAGTTTCATATTCTCTATTGAAGAGTTAAATTTACCGCAGATGTTTTCTAAGTTTGTCATATTCGGATTCGAATAACCTTCTAACAGTTTGCACAAAATATCTGTAAAGAAAGTGTTCTTACCAGTTCCTTGTTTTCCAATTATAATGAGAGCAGTTTCATTTTTAGCACTTGGATGTTGTAAGATGTTTGCAAACCAACATAAGATATACTCATAAACCTTTTCGTTTCCATTGCATATAATTTCTTTGACATGGTCTAACCAAGCTTCTATAATATTTTCTTTCCATTCTACTTGTTCGTATTTATATCCAGTGAAGATAGAATAGAAGTTTGGAGAAGGTGTATAGAACTTTATACCTCGAACTGAAAAATCTTCTAACTTTGACAATAAGATATCCCAAGCATCTAACATCTTCATGCCAACTTGTACAACTTTTATTTTCTTAAGTTTCTGTTTACATTCTTGTTCAGACACTATTGTTGCTCTTGGTTTGTTAAAGACAACATCCCATTCTTTCATGACATAACATTCTGGGGCAGAGTCAACATAAATGACTAAACGTTTCAAATTCTCGACTGCTTTGTTATAGTCTCGAAATGGACACATATTTCTGAATGTTTGGAAGTCATAAAAATCTGAAACATCTATTCTGTACATTTTTATAAGAATAAAAAAAATATTTTTTTTATTCTTGAGCTATTTGTTGTTCTTGAGCTATTTGTTGTTGAAGTTGTTCTTGTAGTACAATACTTTCACCAGTTGCATCTTCCAATTCGAAACTTTCTGCCGTCATTGACAAATACATAGGACATAAAAGTTTTACAGGAACAAAGTTTGCGTCAACTAAGGTTAAGTTTATGTTTGCTAAAGTGTTTGAGTTTACTAAAGCTGAAAACTCTGCATTCGAATGAACAATAGGCAAACCAGCAGAGAAAGTGTTGTTTATACGCATGAGTATCTTTTGGTCATAGTAGTTTCTGTCAACATTCGAATAGCACTTTGAACCTAAGTTTGAAACAATATATAAAATAGGTGTACTTAAAGTCAATGGAACAGACATTCCTTGTATGACACCTTTTCCTGTTATAGGAAACTGTTGGTAGTAAAAACCAGAAATAAGTTTTGTATTATAGCTCATATCGTTTATAGTAAACTCAGTCGGACATCCAAACATAATGAAACCTGCTCTAGTTGCAGCACATGTTACATCCGTCCTTAAAGTATTAAATAAGTCAACAAAACCTGTTGGTGGTATATCTGAGTAAGTATCTTCAAAGAAGTATTTTTTACCATTCACAACAACAAAGTCTTCTGGTGTCAAAAGAGCAAAACAGGCTTTAGTCGTCATTGTGTTTAAGGTTAGTTTACAATATCGTCCTTGAGGACTTTGTAAGTTTGTTGTTATAGAATTATATGACTCAGGGTTTTTAGTCGTAATAGTATAAACCACTATGTCTTCTGCCATTTACTTAGCAAACAAACTTTAATGAAATGTTGTGGTCGTCAAATATTTTTATAACGTCTGGGAAACTATATTTTAAGTTCAACGTTTCACCTCCTTTCATAACGTATATCTTGTCAATGACATTATATGAAACACCACAGCAACTAACGTCGGGTTCTATTTCTTTGATGTTTATATCGTCTGCCTCTGTCAAAAGTTTCAATAGTTCTTTCAAAACTTCATGAGGTGCAATGACATATGAGTTCACCTTTACAGGGTTGTGTTCGACCAAGTTTAACATTATACCTAAAGCTTGACAAATCTTCTCCTGAGTTTGAAGTTTGTCTTTAAGTTGTTGGTAGTCATTTCGAATATCTGCAACAGAACTTAAGTCTCTGCTAACTTCAGGATATGTTGGTTGTTCTTTTACAGGAACTATTGTTATACCATCTTCGTCTTCGTATGGTTTCCCCACTTCAACATCTCTTTCTTTGACATTGACAACAACACTTTGACTGTTTGTTTGAGTTGGTGAATTTAACTTCACATCTGCCACCGCCATTAAACCTTTTGAAACACTCACGCTTCTATTTTTCGGAAATGACATTTTACTTAGAATAAAAAGATGGACGTATTCGAGTATCTCTTCGAATTGAAGCAGAACAAAGTTTACACACACAAACAATACAAATACATTGACAGAATAGTTCTTTATACAAACAATGGAAAATGTTATAGAATAGCAGTCTTTGCTGAACCAAAATATTTTCATAAAGCAAAGAAAGTTGGTATAACCGAGATGGTGAAAGTTCTTGACGTTGACAAAATATAACAACAAAACTGACGATATTTCTAAAGGAAAGTTTTTAATACAATATTATATCAAAACTGGCGTACTGTCAATATTTGACGGAGAGAAGTCAGTTCAAGAACAACTTACTGACCTGCTGCCAAAATCTGCTCGATGGAAGCTGTCGTTATGCCAATCTGAGGAGCCCCAGCAGGTTTCATCGAACGAATCTTCAAAAGAGCATCTTCCGTGAAAAGTGCTATTGGTTTTGTAAACTTCTTTGCTCTCAGTTCATCTGGACCGTCTCTGTCACCAGTATATTGTATTTGAACTGTACCAAC